CCCCTTCTGTACACTGTGCCCACTTCTGTGCACTCACTCACACTGTGTCCCACTCTACTCTACCGGTTTTAATGACTGGCAAATTTTTCTAAGATTTTATTATACTAAGATAAAATATTAGTTTGGATCTGCATCTTTCTATCTGTGTCAGTTTAATGTACTATATTCTGGTTTCAAATTAAACACTGGCACCTTCACATCTGTTTTTATGGATGAATTTTGGTCATTCAATGACTTTACTGTCTCTGTTTGGTAGTAATGAAGATTGCTTTGGTTAAAAACATTACTAATTTCAAGTTCAGAGGGGAACTAAATCACAGACCCCACCTCACCAGCACCCTAAAAAACACATTAACACTGATTTCCACCCCACTGTGTGAATAAAATATAATTTAAATAAAATATAATTTAAATTTAAAAGTAGACAATTCATCTCAAACTTCAGTCGCAGAGAACTGACTTTCCCACTTGATTATTCCCTCAATATTGGACAGTCATTGAATATTTTCAACAAATCCTTTTTCACTAGTTTTGAAGATTTTAAATATCTATCCAATGCACTCAATCAAAATGGGAATGAATCATGTTAAAACACACCCCGGACTTTGCACCTCGATTAAACAAATGACTGATTAAACAGTACAATTTATGATATGATTCCCAGATATTAAGAATCAATATTGACTATTACATGTACATGTAGTCAATCATAACCTTGATGGTAATGAGCTGAATTTCTTTCATGAATATTCATCATATTTTCACAGCCATCAAGAACAATCACCTTCTGTAAAATACTTTATTTTCGCTTGGATTTAATTTTCACTGAAGGAATGTTTTAGTGAAAATGAAATCCAGTTAATATATCCTATATTTTACATTCAACTCGTCAAAAATCAGTGAAAATAAAATCCATACAAAACATCCAAAATGTCTTTTCAGTGAAAATTAATTCAAGCTAAAATAAAGTATTTTACAGTACCTTTATAAATAGTCACGTATTGTATTACATTTACTATTTTTTAGACCTGATTAGTTAATTACATTGATTTATATTAATACTATACAGAATCCCACACCCTTCCTGTAGCTTTCGTTGCATATGGAAGTTATTTTCACGAGTGATGCGATTTTTCCTGTGGCCGTACTTTCACGAGCGAATCAGAATACACCGCATCTTGAGTATGTTACACCGCATCACATGTTAGTCAAAATACGTGGCTGCCTAAAAGTACCATTACTGTTGTTAAAATTTCATTTCACTTGGCAAGTATGTACCCCAAGAAAAAAATATTGTACTTTTAAATATTGTTTTTTTCTGCTGTGTTTAAAAAAAAATGATACTACTGAAAGGACTACTTTGTTTACTCTCAGACCTCATTTGCATATGGGGTGTGGAAATACTGATTTTGATTTCAGGAACGAATCAAAATAAACTGCAGTACATTTGTAATAAATTACATTATTATATATCTAGAGCCGAAAACAATAAAGTTGGTACAGAGCCATATTTTCATTCATTCTAAAACATATCTGCACTTGTTGAAGCATTTGATTTTTTTGGTTAACTACATCACAGTCTTTGGTATGTTCAAGAACAATGATTTCCCATTCATGCACATTGGTGCTATACTTTGAATACACAAGTATTTTAACGTGATGGAAGTTGAATCCTGTCGCTGAATACAAATGTTCAAACAAGTCAGAACATTTGTCATTGCTGTTTCAGGCTATTATATCTGAATCAATTAATGTTTTGGGCATAATTATTAGCTTTATTTTATTTTTGCTTATTTTACCGCTAAATGCATTAAATTTCTTTACAAATCCAATGAATTTACAACCTCGTGCATATTTTTGAAATATCAAATCCACGATATTAAGCTCAGAGAATATTTCACTCTCTACAGCATTACTACAAGCAGGAAAAAGATTTAAAATAATAAGGACATTACAAAAATACTGCAAAGTATGCAGTATGGGAGTAGAATAACCTACTTGTTAGCATGAATTAAAATGGTTGCAGAACATGGTAAAACTATATAAATGTACAAACATAATATGATCAAACAATGATCAAACATTAGGATGAAAATGTTACCTTAAATCCAGTTAACTTAGAACAAAGCTGTGATGCAAAACATGCTAGATAACTCCACCTCAGGCTTTTTCTGCAGCTGCAGCACTCTCATGAATTTTCTACATTTGTTTTATAAATAAATACATTTTTTCTTCAAAATTCAATTCATAATAATTATATTCTCACTTGACAATTTTTTCCCCTCAACTGAAATTTGAATATTTTTTTTTTTTTATATTTGTAGGCTTGCAGGCTTTTTGAAGATGATGGTGCATGTGTAAAAGAATGTCCAGATCCATTTATTTATGATTCAATAACATTTCAAAATGTTCCCAATCCAAATGCCAAATATGCCTATGGATCTAAATGTGTGAAAGAGTGCCCAGGTAAGAAACACAATCTTGAAATCTAATTTTGGAGCCAGCAGACAAAATTTTAGACAGTTTTCAGTTTTTACTCAAAAAAATTGGTTATTTTTCTCCCAATCTTTTGAAGGAAAGTGCAGACTATAAACAGGAGTGTTTTGTGAATGATAATAGCAAAAATAAATTAAAAGGGAAATTTACAGTACATTTAAACAAAAAAATCAAACTGAATGAGGACAGTTGAAAAAATGTCCTTATAGTATTTTATCAACTTAAAATTGGTTTCCATGGTTACCATTTTCTCTTCTCACATCATTATGTACGGTGGGTTAATTTTCGGATTTAGTTCATAACCTCTGAAGTCAACTTAACAATATGCGTAATTGTTTTTTTTTACAAAAATACCTAAAAATCATTAAATATTGTTCGAAAATTGTGATTTGTCATTTATAGGGTTAATTATAGAATTAGAAATTGTTTGCATTGTGTTTAATGGGCAACTAAACCAAATATCAAAAAAAGGTCTTTACAAAAAGGTTGAAGATTACTGAAAGGATCAATTATTATTGAGATGCATTTTTTTATTTAAGCAGTTATAAAGATCCTGTGTGAAAGGAAGTTTTGTGGTATTTACCAGAATAGCTTTAGGGTGGAGTCTCTTTGTTTGTGGTAGGGTGGGATGGGGTTGACATGGTATGGTCCTGTCTGATTTTTAACTGTCATGGTCATCTTTTGAATCACAATTCAAACTGTTTATTTCTTATCTTAGTATTCTTTGTGCTGTTATGTAAGTTATGTAACTTGTGATATATGTAATAATAATGACTGTGAACAAAAGAAGAATATTATGAAACTTTCTTTTTTAAAGAGATTCAGAAAGTCTGCCTCACTTCCTGTGTGTTGTTTTTATTGCTGATCTTTTTATCTGAAAGGTTATTTTGTGCCAATTGAATAATGGTTAATGTGGTGGAGTTTCCAAGTAAAATTATGTGGACTCTGTTCTGCCTCTCCCATATATGGGTATTCTACATCAAACTCACTTTGCTTCAGCATCTTGCACTCTCCTTGTCAATATCAATTATCATTCAAGACTCCCTAACTTAGGAGTTATTATTCATCTGGCTGGAATACCATGACTGTGCTAGGCAGCCAAGTATAAGGCTTGTTTCCAGCCATGGCTTCCATCGTGAAATACGTGAAATACGTTTGTATTTCTTTTTTTCTTATAGAACATTTACTTGTGGATCAAAGTAGCTGTGTTAAGTCATGTCCACCTGGAAAGATTGCCAACGATGAAGATATATGTGAGGAGTGTGATGGTCCATGTCCAAAAAGTGAGTAATATGATAACTATACATTTTAATTGGTTTGTTTTTATGTTAGAACTGTCTCCTTCACTGTCCTATTGAGAATGTCTCAAGATAAAACACTGTCCGGCTTACATGCTGTGTTCAAAGTTTTTATTTTCCTGTGAATACGATATCTATTGTTGCTGCACAGCTGTGGTTACAGACAGTGCTTACAGAACAAAGATTTCAAAGAAAATCTAAAAATTCATTGAGTTTTTTTATATATCACGTGAGGTGGGAACTATTAATCAAAGACAGTGGCAGATATTTAAAGGATTAAGCCATCATTTCCAGCATGGAGGATTTCCATCAAGTTTAATGTAATTGCTTTCCAATTGTGAATTCCTCACTGACATGTGTGGGATTCATTATAAGACTGTTAAATAACACCAAATTTAACAAGTTTAATGAAACAATGAGTGTATTACTCTAGCTCATCTTACTCTATTTTAAACTTGATCGAAATAAAGGCATACCTTACAAACAACACATAATTCAATGCAAACATTGCTGGCATTCTTTAAGTGCAGTAGTGTGTAGTAATCTTCCTTCTTCTTTTTAGCTGATTGTTCACAAATTAAAAAAAATGTTTTTAACTGATCAAATTGATGCTATTAAAATTTACTTCACTGCATTTTATTTATTTTGTTTTTAATTTTTGATATATATTTTTTTTTAAATATACAAATTTTCTATGAAATTTTTGTTTAATGTGTTTTCACATATTTTTAAATCACTTCCAACAGCAGAAGATGAATTATATGCAGTGTATTCACAAGTAAAAGTATTTGTTTTGGTTTGTACAAACAGTTGAATTCAGGTTTCAGTGGATTTTGTATTATATTACACATGCAGGCTTGACTACTAGGGACGTTGTAGGTTACTTTAAGATCAAAACAAAAACACCCGGGTTAACAAAAAATACTACTGAATAATTCTGCCACAGCCTCTATCATAGATGGACTGTGATTCTGCAGTTAATAACTATAAAAACTATTTTACTATGAAGGATTCAGTTATTCAGTTCAAAAAAGAAACTAGCCTTACTTGTTTTGATTACTGCATCTATTTGCTTAATGTCAAATATCTATTTATATTGTATTGTAATTGTGTTGTGTACGGATATATTTATTGCTTTTTACCAAAAGAAATATTGTAATTTCTAAGGATGCAATAAAATTTGATTATTATTATTATTATTATAATATCAACTTTGATATTAGCATTTTATTTAGTGAGTAATTTATAGTGGTAACTGCTAGTCCCAGGATTACATCATTGCAATGTGAGATTAAATACTTTGTGTGTTGTTTGCATTTCTGATTTACTCTCTCTGTTTCTACAAAGAATAATCTGTTAAAATCTGCTCAATCATTAAATAAATTTAATGTGTCTAATCAGATAAGTTCATAACATTCTTTCATTTATAAGTCTTGGTATAACTCAGGGATGTGTAAAAAATATATTAAACATACCTGACTGTGTTTGATTTACTGTAAAGCATTTGGTGTAAATAATCAACAGTCATTCTATAATTTTGTGTCTAATGAAAAAATTTTCCCCAGGAAAATGTTGATACAATAGTTGCGGTAATTGGCCTTTACTTAATAAATGTACAATGTGTATGTAGTGAAGAAGGTGTGGATTTTGTTGATCTAATTTAATATGTAGGTGGGGCAAGCACTTTTCAGGGTCAGTTTTCACTAATTAAGCAAATGTTTTCTGTCCATTCTGTCTTTATTGTTTTCATGGGATGTGTCAGTTTACATTGGAATCATATTGTGTATCTATATCTAATTCTAGAATTTAGAAACCTGATTATGGTATACATGTAGATGCTCTTGGCTATATTTATATTCAAAAATATTTAATATCTTGTGTTGAGCTATTGCTATGTGCCACTATATTCTGCATTCATTTTCTGTTTTTATAATTTGCTTTTCAATTTGAACTTTTGTTGATTTGTGCAGACCATGGTGATGGTATTCTGTTTAAAATTCATGGAATTTTAGGTTGTGTATTAAAAAGAACGGAAATTGCTTGACTTGTGCATCGTTCATGTGTGATGCACGAAAATGTCTAATTCAGATGGTTGCCGAGTAACCTTGCAGATTGCTTGTATAATGCTGTTTTATACTTTTTCCCAACAAAACATTTTTCCTGCTAACAGTTTGTGTATTTTTTCGTACCAAAGAACACAGGAAATTTGCTAAGCGCAGTCATAACATATTTTGGGGGAAAACAATGTTTATGACTTTTTTGCAGTTATGGGTCATCTGTGCATTTTTATTTTTCCCTGCAACACTTTGCTTGCAACTCTTTTCTTTGTGTGGAGCTTGCATTTTTTTTAACAAATCTTCCATCTATCCCCTGGATTTCATATGGTTGACCCTCTAATTGTCTGCCAATGATTTTTTTTAAACTTTGAACTTATAGGAATGATAATGAAATGATAATGAAACAAATTGCCTTCGGTAATTATAATAGATTACAACAAATTAGAATTAATTAGATTTTTTTGAGCTAATTATAGAAGTCATTTTGAGTTTTTAAATTGCCAATTCTATTGTACACAGCAGCAAAATGTTCAATATTTTTTGTATTTTATTTCACAATGTTGGTGTATGTTCCCTAGCAGTAATTTTAACAGGAAAAATTTGACAAATGTGAAAAATGTGACCTAATGTTTGAAGGGAGAAGTCAAGGATGGTTAAAAAGTCAGAAGAGGTCATATCATGGTTGTGATGTGCACATTAATGTTTTCAATATGAGAATTTCTGTTACTTTTCATTTTATTGTTAAAACTAAATTTCTATTTCGACAGAAGAGATGCAGTTCACCACCATAGTTGTTTGGTTGACTAAATTTCACCAGAGAAAGTAGATGCAGATGTGCAAGTTTCTTAACAATGCATGGTAATATGCAATGAAAACCTGCATGTCAATCTTTTCTGACGAATATAATCATAGAACACCATAAACACGTGTCAATTCAATGTTTTGAACGCCATGAACACTTGCCAATACAAAGCTTAGAATGCCATGAGGACTTGTTGATGCAAAACTTTGATTATAGAAACAGAAATGTAATTTTCCAGCACTACAAAATTGGGCCTTCTCTTAAGTTGCCATTGTAACAACTGATGCAATTTTCAAAATATCGCATACATATATTTAAAATAAATGATCAGAGAGAAATCATATTCAACAATGTGGGCATGTCAATTTTGTTGTATTGCCATCAGCAAGTCAGAATAAGTTAGGAAATTGTTATCTCCTGGGTGCTATACATAATGTTTGCATGATTGCTAGGCATCTGTACTCCCTCAATTTTTCCTACTTTCACCTTATATCTTGTACCATACTCTCCTCCATTCAAATTATTATCATTCTGATTTTTTTTCTTCTTATTATAAACATATTTCATTTTTACCAGTTCATGTACTTAAATAATACTAAAAAAAATTAATTGAAATAAAAAAATAAATTCTAATTAGATTAAATAATTACCACATTGAGTAAACAAGATGTTCTGAAATAGAATACCATTTGTCAACAAAATTAGCATACAGGCGAAGTGCAATAATATGTTTGTATTCGGTGTTTTTTCATTAATAGCTTCATTTTATCATGAAATATGCATGTGATAAATATTATAATCCTACAACCTTTTCTCCATGTCATCTGCTGTCATTATAGTAATAGCAGCATTAATCTTGTCTATCATATGATATACAACTCTGACTGTATATGACTGCTGACGACAACCTAAAAAATTGGGATTTATTGAAAAACAAGCATTATTTTTGCTTCAAAGTTTTGATTTGCAGGCAAATATATTATTAATTCATATTTAGAAAAATCTGACAGGTGATGTCATACTTGGCTTGAATAAATGTCTTTCATTTTAAACTGTTTTCATTTAAAACGATATAAATATTGCAAATGATCTTAGGCATTGACCGTACACACTCATGAATTTGTGTCAATTATTGACAGATACTAACTTGTCTTGATTTGGATTAATTCAGCTAGGTCTGTGTGAATTCCACACACATGTAATCTACTTTGACATTTATAAATGGAAATATTGTGTTGACACAAAAACTGTAGACTGACTCCTTCATTGACCCTCTATATTTACTTGCATGGTGTTATGCAAAGTCAGTAAAATTAATGAACTACATAATATTTTTTAACATCAGGTCTTGACTAATGGGTTTATTGTGTTTTGTCAATAGTTATTCCTGTTTGGAAATTTGTACCATGACAATCCTTGGTCATTATTTTGTAATCTGCGCTCACCTTTGACAAGTATGTTTATTGGTTTGGTTGAGGTAAATGAATGCTACAGTGTGAATGAATGCTTTCAATACATGTATAAACTTCTCAGTAAAAGAATGTACAGTTTGTTGTATCTTTGCCTGTAACAGCATAAAGCAACTTAATTTTTGAAGAATATGTCTTCCTAATAACTGAAGGGAGATGTATGACTTCAGCAACAGCATTAGGTTTTTACATGAATGTAATTTGTCACCATGGATACCAGCTTTTGTGGCTTTATCATATACAATAGTAACAGGACTATGATGCATCCCATATCTAAGTGACAGCTTCTCCCAAACTAATAGCACAAGTTGATTTCATGGAGTCTTAAAATTACCACATTCTGAAAGGAGAATCTCAAAAACCTTTTCTTGCCCCGAAGGCATCAATATCTGAACCTTCCTACCACTCATTTCTGTCTATAGTATTTAATCTTCTGAGTTGTATGGACAGCTCACAGTCTTTGTTTAGTACAAGCTGAAACAAAAAAGAATATTGAAGTTGTGTTCACATTAGATACCATTCCTCCAATTCTTCAAACCATGTAAAAATTGAGGGGGGGGGGGATTCCCCACTGAAAATTTTGATGCAGGAATACTTTCACAATAGTATTTCTGCAAAGTTTTCATGAACAAATCCTTCAAGATATATAATACTGAT